AGATTAATCAGTGTAGATTTGGGTTAATTTTTGAATCTCTCATGGATTGAGCATGAAATCAAGGATAGAAAATGGAAGTTTTTCTCTCTTTTCTTGTCTCTTAAGTTCGGCCAAAATGAAGGGAAAGATGATGGAATTTTGGTGAAATATTCAAGATAAATACTAGGAAGGTCTTTGGTCAAAGGTGGTGTTGATTGCCAACACTTGGCATCCACCAATTTTTCTTTCTTTTCCTTTTCCTTAGTCAATAATGGTGGCTGACTTAAGGGTTAATTTAGGGGAAATTAAATGAAATAAAAACAAGGAGTTTAGGGTAAGAAAGTATTGGTCAAACGGTGTATTCAACTGGTAATAAACGGCGCGCGTCGGTCCAAGCCTGTTTCCCTTAACTCCATTGTACTTTTGTTTTAAGTTATGATTCACTAATTTATTATAAGTATTTCTAATCACACACTTCTTCTTACCTAATACTCACTCTTATCCACCAAATTTAGTGCACACACCTCACCAATCGATCACACTACCAAACTGCACCAAAACCCTAACTTACTTTAAATTTAAAAGTAAAAGTAAAACTCTTGACTCAACTAATGAAATCACTATGAAATTTAGAGCTAATAAATAGTTAAATAGTCAAGTAAAGAAATATAGAGGAAAATATAAATTAATGTTTCAAAAATGGGAGAAAATTCTAAAGGAATTTTCGAGTCCTCCCAATAGGCCACTGCAAGAAAAGCAAAGAGTTCAAAGAATGTTTGGGGATCATTGTGGTTATGCTAGCAGCTTCACTAATAGGTTCTCCTCCAAACTTCCATGGAAAAAAACACTCTCATTTCGATATTGTACTGATGGTCAACAGGCCCTAAACATTGTTGAAAGCTACTTCTTGAATGCAATGGGTGAAGATTTTGGAGAATCTGCGTATGAAATTGCATACATGCCACTAGCTATTTTTCTTCTCAGACAATAGATGCTTTTTTTTTCTTTCCTACTTTTGATGATGCATTGTTTTTTCTTGTCTTTGTCTTTAGGAAGATGTGCCAAAAGTACAATGAAGCCATGAGCAATCTATCTCTTGAAATTATGAAACTTTTGATAGCTAATAACATATACATATATATATGTTCTTTAAACTTAAAATATTTTCTCAATAAATGCATATTAGAATTTTTTTAAAATTGCGTGTTAGAAAATAGAAGTTAAATTTGGAATTATGACTTTTATTTTAAGGTTGATTTGTTGCTCAATCCCAATATTAAAGTCATTTTTTTTGCAATCCAACTTTTTTATCAAAATATAGTAATCACTATGGCTGCATAAAGTGGCATTAATGAATTTAAAATTAATTTTTTCATAAAAAAGTAACCACAGCAAAAAAGCCATTATTTGACTCATTGTTATACATATATATATATATCCTTTAATTAAAAATCCATTATTTGACCCTTTTTTACCACAAGCACATCGCTTAACTAAATAAATTACATAAATTAGTTGTGCATGTTCACCAATAACTTCAAATTTCTATTTATAATACAACTACTATAATGCAACTTCAATCATAAGTACATTATATAAATTATATTATGCAATTTGACTAATAACCGCAAATTGCTATTGTAACCGGAAATTGGTATTGTAATACAACTTCAATTACATTCTAATATTTTTTAGGTATGCTGATTACTACAACTACAAAATTCGTGTGTACATCAAAAGAAAAAAAAAACTACTTTGTTTCCAAATTTCACAACATCTGGACTGGAATACTGCTTGACTTTGTGAACAACTACTTTGTTTCCAAATTTCATAGCATCGGGGCCAGAATGCCACTTGACTTGGCAACCATACGTAAAAGGTGGAAGTACAATCCATCAAAGCAAGTTTATGCACTTGAAGGTACAACACCACAAGAGTCTAGCATGAACAGTAGAACACCACATGATATGAACGGCATCAACCGTGTGATGCAACCCGTACAGAAAGGCTTGGATCTAGAAGGTAGAGACTCACGTTGAAGATTGATAAGTCAATTGAATACCTAAGATATAAATCTAAGATATTCAAGGTGCTTCAATGAAGCTTGAGAGAACTCTCAATGTAATTTTATTAATCATCAAAAAGTCCTCTTACAACCCTAAATGCTAACTTAAATAGACAAATAAAAAGACTAATGGGCCAAGTTACATGCTAATGAGGCTCACATGGCCCAAAACATTGGTCCACGAACTAAACACCGACTAGGGCCCAAACCACAAGTTAGTTGGAATCTCTTTATTACATTTTACTAAGAATACTAATGGGCCATGGGCCCTTGACCGAATCTCACACTAATCCTCAGGGATGGCCTCGAGGAAGATGACCTCTCTAGCTTCGTTAAGCCCTTCAATGGCCTTAGGCTCTCCATTAGACTCTCGAGCCGTGCGAACTAATGTTTGTAGTGCTTCACTTAACCTCTTCGCACGAGCACGGGTCATAAGCCCCAACGGTACCTTCACTTGCTCCACTTGAATAGCACCCTCGACCTCCTCATCATTCCCCTCCTCTTGCGAAAGATTTGTCCTCAAATCGACATCATCATCTGCGAGATAGGGACTTAGGTCAGCAATATTAAATGTAGTCGAGACATTATACTCACCTGAGAGATCGAGCTTGTAGGCGTTGTCGTTGATACGCGCCACAACCTGGAATGGTCCATCTCCTCGGGGTAGCAACTTGTTGCGATGCTGGACAGGGAATCGCTCTTTGCGTAAGTGTAACCAGACCCAATCACCTGGTTCAAACACCACGCGACGCCGACCCTTGTTGGCATGCTTGAGATATTGTTGGATGCGAGTTTCAATGTTAGCCCTCACCTGCTGGTGCAAGTTCTGGACAAACTCGACTTTCTTCTTGCCATCAAGTTTAGTACGCTCAGACAAAGGCAAAGGCATCAAATCCAAGGGAATCAAAGGGTTAAAATCGTAAATAATTTCAAATTGTGAAAATTAGGTAGCACTATGAACTATACGGTTATAAGCGAACTCAACATGGGGTAAACACTCCTTCCAAGTTTTGAGATTCTTTTTAATGATGGCCCTAAGTAATGTAGACAATGTACGGTTAACGACCTCAATTTGGCCATCGGTCTGGAGGTGACTGGATGTAGAAAATAGCAACTTAGTCCCCAACTTCCCCCATAAAGTCTTCCAGAAGTAAGAGAGAAACTTAACATCTCTATCAGACACAATAGTCCTAGGGACACCATGCAAACAGACAACTTTCTTAAAGAAGAGATCAGCTATGTAAGTAGCATCATCCGTCTTATGACAAGGAATGAAATGGGCCATTTTAGAGAAATGATCAACAATAACAAAGATACTATCATACCCCTTTTACTCTTAGGTAAACCAAACACAAAATCCATAGAAATGTCAACCCAAGGATCCGAAGGAATAGGTAGAGGTGTATACAAACCAAAGGGTTGTAACTTGGACTTGGCACAGTGATAAGTGATGTAGCGTGACACCATTCACTCCACATCCCGCCTCATGCGTGGCCAATAGAAATGCTCCTGTAAGGTACTCAAAGTCTTGATGACACCAAAATGTCCCATCAAACCACCTCCGTGAGCCTCACGGGTTAGTAACTCACGAACAAAGCATGACGGAATGCACAATTTATCATTACAATACAAAAACCCATCATGAATGAAGAACATACCTTGATCCGACTTAGCACAAGACTTGTATATATCAGAGAAATCAGAATCGGTATCATAGAGTTCTTTGATAAGATCAAATCCAAGGAGTTTAGCGTCAAGTAGAGCAATCAAGGCATACCTCCTGGACAGTGCATCAACAACGACATTGGTTTTGCCTGCTTTGTACTTGATCACATAAGGAAAGGACTCCACAAAATTGACCCACCGGACGTGTCTCTTACTCAACTTGTGTTGAGACTTGAGATGCTTTAGGGCCTCGTGGTCAGTGTGGATGACAAATTGCTTAGGTCGCAGATAATGTTGCCATGTCTCCAGTGCACGAATCAAAGCATAGAGCTTCTTATCATAGGCGGAGTAGTTCAAGGCAGCACCGTTCAATTTCTCGCCAAAATATGCGATTGGTCTTCCCTCTTGGATCAATACGGCTCCAATTCCTACACCAGAAGCATCACATTCAACCTCAAAAGTTTTATCAAAACTAGGTAAGGACAATAAGGGTGCATGTGTGAGCTTGTGTTTAAGGAGTTGGAACGCCTTCTCCTGAGCTTCCCCCCACTCGAACTTCACATCCTTCTTAATAATGACGGTAAGTGGGGCAGCTATAGTGCTGAAATCCTTCACGAACCGGCGATAGAAGCTCGCAAGGCCGTGGAAACTCCTAACTTCACTCATGGTCTTGGGTACGGGCCACCCATTGATGGCCTGGATTTTGCTTTCGTCCACTTTAATGCCCTGTGCACTAATCTTATAACCAAGGAAAACAAACTCATTAGTGCAAAAAAGTACATTTGCCAAGGTTAGCGAATAACCTCTCCCTGTGCAAAACATCAAGAACAGCTCGTACATGTGCTACATGTTCCTCAGGACTCTTGCTGTATATCAGAATGTCGTCAAAATAAACAACAACAAATGTACCTAAGAACGGGCAAAGCACATGATTCATAAGGCGCATAAATGTACTAGGAGCGTTTGTTAAACCAAAGGGTATAACTAACCACTCATACAGACCATACTTAGTCTTGAAGGCCGTCTTCCACTCGTCCCCTTCCTTCATTCGAATTTGATGGTAGCCACTCTTAAGATCAATCTTGGTAAAAATGACTGCACCATACAATTCGTCAAACATATCATCTAAACGAGGTATAGGGTGACGATACTTAACTGTGATAGCGTTGACGGCGCGGCAGTCTACACACATCTTCCAAGTGCCTTCTTTCTTTGGGACAAGGATGACTAGAACGGCACATGGGCTCATGCTCTCTAGAGCCCAACCTCTCTCTAAGGGCTCATCTACTTGTCATTGGATCTCCTTAGTCTCCTCAGGGCCAATCTTGTAGGCCGGTCTGTTAGGCAAGGATGCTTCAGGAATGAAATCGATTTGGTGCTCGATCCCTCTAAGTGGTGGCAGACCACTGGGGATCTCATCTGGGAAAACGTCCTCAAATTCATGTAATAAAGAGGAGATTTCAGGAGGTAAGTCATTGAGTGCTTCATGAGAAAGTAAAATCACCTCTTTGCAATATAAGACATAAACAACTTGCTTGAACAAAAATAATTTACGAACTTCCCTGTTCTTTGCAAGCAAGCTAGGGCGTTTGTCCAATCGACTAGATGTACCAGGGTTGGATGTCCTCTCGGTCAGTGCTCTAATGATTGCCTGAGAATTGGGTGACCTTTTAGCCACCTCTCGTTCATGCTCCTGTTTGCTAATGATTGCCTGAGAATTGGGTGACCTTTTAGCCACCTCTCGTTCATGCTCCTGTTGCAAACGCAGTTGGTCTTCATGCACCTGCTGAGGTGTGAGAGGAATAAGTGTCATCTTCTTGTTGTGGTGCAAGAAGGAGTACTTGTTGGTAAAACCATCATGAGTAGTCTTCTTGTCATATTGTCATGGCCGTCCCAACAAAATATGAGAAGTTTGCATGGGAACGACGTCGCAAAGGACCTCATCCTCATACTTCCCAATCTGGAAAGGCACAACCACTTGTTTGGTGACTTTGATATCGCCACTCTCATTGAGTCATTGCAAGTAGTATGGGCTAGGGTGCCTCAACGTGGGTAAGGAAAGATGATCCACCATAAGAGTACTTGCCACATTGGTACAACTACCTGCGTCAATGATGAGACTACATACTCGTCCCTTGACGTGACATCGGGTGTAAAAAATGTTGTCACGTTGGGCCTCATCCACTCTCTTGACTTGGGTCGCGAGAGCTCGACGCGCTACTAGAGCAACGCCAACTTGCTCAGTAGTGGCCTCAACCTCCACCTCGGAATCTTCACCCTCATCAGTCAATGGAGGCATCTCGACGAACTCGTCCTCGTCATCAGATACGACGTCTCCGCTCGGTAGGACGATCATGGTACGCCTATTGGGACACTGGGAGGCGATGTGCCCAAATCCTTGGCATTTGAAGCACTTGTCACGGCTTCGTGGCTTGGAGGACTCGAATGAAGGTCTTGGAGTTGTCTTTGGGGCCTGCTTGAGTGGCTCGGTCTTAGGGGTAAACTTGGACATCCCTGGATTAGGCTGTTCCCGCTCGAAGGTCGGGTTGCCCCTCCACACAGGCGTGGCTGAGAAGCTAGGGTTACGAGGGTTACCCCTCCTCTTAAGCCTCCTCTCGATCTTGGATGCCTTGTCAATCAACTCAGGCATATCCACATAGTTTTGCAACTCCACCAATTCGGCGATTTCAGGCCTTAAGCCGTTAAGGAACCTCGCCATGGTAGCCTCTCTATCCTCCATAATGTCTGCTCGGAGTATGGTGATCTCCATCTCCTTGTAGTAGTCCTCCACAGTACGACTTCCTTGGACTAATGTCTGGAGCCGCTGATATAGATCACGATAGTAATGGCTGGGTACAAACCGTTTCCTCATAGTGGTTTGTAACTCCTCCCACGTGCTAATTTGTCGTTCTCTATTGCAGCGTTTGCTAGTGCGCTCCTGCTCCCACCAGACAATAGCGTAATCGGTGAATTCGAGTGTTGCCAATTTGACCTTTTGTTCATCGGTGTAGTCCTGGCACTCGAATACCATCTCGATTCGCTGTTCCCATTCCAGGTAAGCCTCTGGACTAGACGTGCCTTGGAAAGAGGGAATCTTGATTTTGACCCCCTTGAGTCCATCATCGGTTCTCCGGTAGTCCTGCTTGGGCCGACGGATGAAGTCATCTTCCTCGCTATTAGAAGCTAGCTCCTCGCGAGGTGGCACATCCCGACGGCTGGCGTTGGTCCGAGCTTACGAGAGCTCTAAGCGGTCCATTCTTTGGTGTAGAGATTCCATGGACTCCTGAAGCATGCATTGGATTTCACTTAGCAATGCATGGTTGTTTGACTTGGGGTCAAACCTGGAGGCCTCACTCCCACCGGACATGATGTAGTAGGCCTGCAAAAAGTTAGTAGCAAAGCAAATATAGAAATGGATGTCTCACTCACTCCCTCACGTGTATGCACTCAACCCTCGTGTATGGCCCTCAAATAGCACTCGACTAAGCTCACCAAAGCTCTCAAAAGCTCTTGATAGCTTGCCTTGAAAAAATTAGAAATCCTCCCAGGTAAACAATTCAACTTCCAATGCTTGGAGCACGTAAATGTGGCAATCCTCAATGGAATGAAGAATAATGGACAATTGACCCGAGGAATAAAGAAATGATATGACTCAGATGAAAGGAAACAAAGAAGACTAAGACACGAGAAAGAATAAGGAAAGGACTTAACCCAAAAAAATACACACTTTTTTTTGTTTTTTTAGAAACGCACGCTGCCTTGGCTAGTTAGTAAGTGCGAATGGATCCTAATGAGAAGAAATGGGTGGCGGCCAACTACTTAAAAATGGAGGGAAAGAGGCGTAAAAGAAAAAGGAGGGAAAAGTATAAGGAAGTTTCTAAAATGTAGGAGAAGGTGAGAAAATGTAGGACGAAATTTTAGGATACTGAATTTGGAAGCTTGCACAATTTGGAAACTCAAGACTTGGAAACCTTTTTGGCCTTGAAAAATCCCCAAGGTGCACGGCTGGCCTAGGGTTTTAAAAACCCCTTGGGAGTGACTTTTCACCCTCCAAAACTACCACAAGGTGGCAAATTACCAATCAGCCTTGGCTAAATCGGTTCCTCTCCAACAAGTGCAACCCACAATGGACAATCGAAATGGTGACTCTAACAACCCTCCTCAGGCTCCCCCCCAACGGGTTACCCAAGGTATTTCCAAGAAATTTACTCTAAAACCTCGAAAACCCTTCACTACCACAAGGGAATACAGAAAACTTTTCACTAAGAAAATGGAACGACCTCCCAAGACTCAAGGTGCTCAAGACCTTCAAGAAGTAGTGGACCAAAATTTTTAATTTTCGTTTATTTTGCGTGTAATGTTCGGAGCACTATGTAACTTCAAAGGAATTGGCAATAAAAATTCTGGACTTTCTTTTGTTTTTGGCCGCAACACTATTTTTTTATTTTTTTTTTGCTTGCTGTGTTTTTTTTTTTTTTTTTTTGCGAGACAAAACAGGTTTGACTTCAAGGTTTCAATACGGCCAAGGTGTATTCCACTTCCAAAGCAGGGTATACAACCACTCAAAACAATCCCAAACTCACGAAGTGCAATTAATAATTTCGGACAGCAAGGGAAACAGAAGGTATGGCCGACAAAAGAAGCAAATCAGTTTTCATGCACTACAAAGGAAAACCAATCAGATTTCATGCACTTTGCTATCAATATGGTTGCACTTCCTAATCAAACGGTGTACCCCAAAACAGCCCACAGCTCACGGATGGCAAGGAAAAGAAAAAAAAATTCTGGGTAGACCACAATGGAAACCAAGGAAACAACTCAAAACTGGACAGTAGGTGTTTCTTTTCCCCTTGTTCTTTTATGTTTTTTTTTTTTACTTTACTGGGCTGTGTACACGACCCAACACACACTCCAACCAACGAGAATAGACACACTAATCAGTAAGTGATGGAGGCACAAACCTGGACAGTTCGCTACACCAACAAGCCCACGATATTCGACAAGAGGGAAGAACCCTAGCCGCTGCAAACTGTCTTCTCCCTTTTTTTTTTTGACAAACACTACTGACCAGCACCAAGACACGACAATATAGACGCAAAACACGAGGAACTCAGGCTGGGAAATCCGGACAGCAACGAACAATCGAACGACTTGACAACAAGGACACGCAAGACAAGGCAAACACATGGACTGACTTGAACGGATTATAGAAGCCTTGGACAGAAATTTGGGACTCCAAAACACAACCAAACAGCTTTGGAATTACTTGGATAGTTGACGAACAGTGGGCAGAATTGACACACAAATCAGGAACAAACGACAACAACACTTGGGCGACAAAAACAGAATTTTCGACTCCAAAACAAATCAAACAATTGCGGACAGATTGAAGACACAAAAACAAGGAGAGAAACGACCCCAAAAGAAAATGAAGCAAGGGATATACGTGATACCTTCAACTAGCTCTAATGCCAGCTGATACGAACGGCACCAACCGTGTGATGCAACCCGTACAGAAAGGCTTGGATCTAGAAGGTAGAGACTCGCGTTGAAGACGACGAACACAGTGAATCACCTAAACCCGTTGATCACGTAGTCAACGAACCTCGGTATTTGTAGAAGACGCCACAATCTAGCGTGGTCCTAGATTGATAAGTCAATTGAATATCTAAGATATAAATCTAAGATATTCAAGGTGCTTCAATGAAGCTTGAGAGAACTCTCAATGTAATTTTATTAATCATCAAAAGGTCCTCTTACAACCCTAAATGCTAACTTAAATAGACAAATAAAAAGACTAATGGGCCAAGTTACTTGCTAATGAGGCTCGAATGGCCCAAAACATTGGCCCACGAACTAAACACCGACTAGGGCCCAAACCACAAGTTAGTTGGAACCTCTTTATTACATTTTACTAAGAATACTAATGGGTCATGGGCCCTTGACCGAATCTCACACTAATCCTCAGGGATGGCTTCGAGGAAGATGACCTCTCTAGCTTCGTTAAGGCCTTCAATGGCCTTAGGCTCTCCATTAGACTCTCGGGCCGCGCGAACCAATGTTTGTAGTGCTTCACTTAACCTCTTCGCATGAGCACGGGTCGTAGGCCCCAACGGTACCTTCACTTGCTCCACTTGAATAGCACCCTCGACCTCCTCATCACCACAACTGCCTCTTATATGTATAAGGACATTTGTGATGAGGAAATGATGATTCCTACCTCCTAATGCAAAGAAGTAGTTGGTGTAAAAAGATGGGCTTCCATCCACATATTGTAAAGTTACAGTTTGATAAATAAAAACTACATTTGTGATATATATATATATGTTTTAATAATTCCAGTTCACTTATTTTATTTAATTCAAGTTTAATTTGAATGTCGAGTAATTGCTTATTTATTGGACTCTATCATATCAATTCAATTCACTTGGTTAATTCAATTTAAGACACTTCTTAGAGTTGGTGTTAAACAAAAGAATCAATTAATTGATAAAGATATTAGAAAGATCTCTTCTGCCTATTAATCATTTGATTGATAAAGATCATTAACCTCTTCATTCAATGCTAATAAAATTTAAAGATAAAAGGCTCGGTGCATTAGCATATTTAGTGTCATATTTGATTCATACAACACTCATACACATACTTAAGAGGATGAATGATGCAACACTACTTAATATAAAGATTTTAGAATTAATTTATTGACCTCTATAATGAAGATGGTCTTTGCTTTACTTTTCTTCCCCACCAATCCCTCAATTTACCAAAGTATCTTGAATCCCCATTTCTCAAACTTTTATTAAGTTGATGTTT